CTTTCTCACTGGAAACGGGAAGGCTGCTCGGGGTGCATGGCTTTGATAAGAAAAATGTTAGAAGCAGAAAAGTCAGATCAGATTTTAAGCCCCCTTCTCAGTTATAATTTCAGTTTTAGCGAAGAGCACGAAGATGGATTTTTTTTAAAAAGTCTGTCTGCAGTGAAGAATCTCCAACGGTTCTGAACGGGCGGCGTGGTACCGTGGCCCCTGAAGAGAGTCAGCCCGGGGCCATCTTAGATTTCCTCAAAATGGAAGACCTGCCCAGCCCACATATTGTCTCCTGCTTGAAATCCTTCAAAAACCCATTAGCCTTTATGGGCAGCTTGTCGTCATCAACGAAAGAAATCGCTCACCGTGTGGCCATTTGCCAAACCTCTGCGGCACCTCAGAGACAGGACTCGGGGGGGGGGGGCGGCCATAAGCAGGTTCCCTGTTTCTCCAAGCTCAGAGGGTTTTCAGAAGGTGACGGGAGCACAGTGTGTTTGTCTGTACATCTGTCCGCATGAGGGGGACGCAAACCTTTGCTTTCGGCAGGAAACAGAGCTCGCAGTGAGAACCTGTGTGATCACTATCTATTGGATAGAGTGCTTCAGACCAGGACTCAGGAGACCTGGGTTCAAATCCCTGCTTGCCCTTGGAAATTCCCTGAATGGTGGTGAGGGTCAATGGTGGCTGGAAGGGACCCTCTGGATGATGGAACACATCTCTTCTTAAGGAGACCCGGAGGGTGGATTGAACCCCCAACCTCTGGCTCCACAGCCAGAGACCTAAACCACTGAGATATCCAGCAGTTCCTTAAGGATCATCATCATCATCATCATCATCATCATCATCATCATCATCATCATCATCATCATCATCATCATCATCATCATCATCATCATCGAATTGCAAAGCTGGAAGGGACCCTCTGGATCACAGAGTCCAGCCCTTGTTCAAGAAGCAATATCAGACTACATCTTCCATAATCCCCAGGCAGCATTTCCACGAACGGGTGACAGGGATGAAGGCACCTGGTTACAAAGGTGGCATTCAGATTTTCATTTGGCCCTGAGGTGAAGCTATTTGAAAGGAAACAATGAAAGGGGGGGGGAGAATGATGATGGCAGCAAAAATCAGCCAAGTGCTTCAGCTAATTTTCACAAGCAGTTCTATTTTTTTCAAAAGCACTAATTAGAAGCGAGCATTGAACCAGAAAATGACAACAAAAAACAGGAAGGTGACCTCCGGTATGGTATTCCAAAGCAGTGGAGGCTGGTGGGGATCTGACTTTGTGAGTCTGGGTATTTGGGGAGCTATCCAAGATTCCCAATCCTGCCCTCCAAAATAGGTTCAGCACCTTAGTCAGCTCTTGCAGAGTTCAGACTAAAACCCAGAATGGATCCCCTGCCTGGCAGCCTCCACTGATCCAAAGCAAGCCACATGTTAAATCTTCCTCTTTTGAACAAACACCAGGTAAAGGCAGTACCTGTGTATGTGCACACGCACGCTCACACACAAGGGTGTGTTTTTGTGTTAGGGGAAGTAATCAAAACTGCCTCCTATCAAATCACTAAAAAGAATCCTTGCAAGTCGGTGAGCAGAAATTACATTCACACATACACACACACATGAACACACACACATGAACACATAAATGAATTGAGGAAACAATATGCCCACAACTGTGAAATAATTCACTTCACTCTTTCTGAATGACTTGCCTGTTCTCTTGTGAACATTAAGGGGTCCATCTTTTAATTTGCTCATTTAAAAAAAAAAAAGTCTGTGAGAAACAGCTCCGGGACAAAAACACTTTAGCCTGGTCTACCTCTCCACACAAAAAGGCTGGCATCTAAAGTTGAAAAAGAAAAAAAAGAAAAAAGGCGCAACGCTAAAGATACAAGGAATAAAATAAATAAATAAATAATGAAAATGAGGCACGAAAGATCTTATTTTGGACACAGTTCTTCACCGGATCTCAGAGAGCAAAGTTTGCCCCTGTGTGAGAAGCCTAAGCTTTGGCGGTCTCTAGATACAAAGTTCCTTTGATTTTCCGGGAAACCAATTACTGAACCACAGATTAGAGAGCTAATAAAAGCCCATTATACCATTTTCAGAAAGTAAATCTGATTGGGATGCTACCGATTCATCTTTGATGGCCCACAAAGACTGCATCCATTTCTGGCAGGGGCGCTCTCGGGAGCCCTCGATGGATGGAGCGGCAGAACAGACGTGAGGGTAATATGAACCGCTGATCCATGGGGCTAATTGGAGACCCAAAACAATCAAGGCAGGGGGAAAAATACAACCTCCTTTTAAGAACGACACACGATACCCGTCAGCGGTTAGGATATCTTCAGCTTTGGGCCAAGCATCTTCAGCTTTGAAATTCCAAGGAACACCCAAGACCCTTGTGCCATCTGAAGGGCTAAACCCATCTTGGGAGGCACAAGCTTCTGTGGATCGTGGCCGACTTTGTCTGTTGCAGCACCTAGTCAACTTATAGCAACCTTCCCTGAGTTGTTCTAGGTATAAAGTATCAGAAAGTCCTTTCCTACACCATCCTTCTGATGGCACAAGTTTCCTCAAGGCCACCATAGGGGGCTGGGCACATCACCCCATAAGCTACGCAGGCTCTAGAGAAATTCTTCTAGTCTCCTCCATTTGAGACCCAGTCAGGTTCGAACGCCAGGCCTCTAGCTCGGCAGCTGGGGACTGCAACCTGCTGAGCTATATCTGTTCTTCTGTTGAGGTTATGAACATGCATTTATTCACCTGATTTGTAAACCACCCGGGTCCTTCCAGAGCTTGGACCCAGAAATCTTTCCTTTCCAGGCTTCCCCTAATTTTGAGAGTTTGCAGTGACCCTGGACGTCCTCAGCCATACTTGCGGGCAACATTTTGCTGTGTATTTGTTCACCTAGTTAGTTCTGCTTTGTTATGAAAAGCTTGCCCCTCTATCCTTTGGTAAAAATCAACAGACCCATTAGTGTTGATGCTGCCGAGACTAACATTAGCCAGCCTTCTACGAGGTACCCGGGCCCTCTTTGGCTCAACCACCCCTTGCTTTTTATTTTCTAAATTCAATCAGAAGACAACGGTTTCCACTTTGCTGCCCGGAAGGTGGTTTCCCCTCTAACAGAGTCAAGGAATCAAATTAGCGTCAGCTTTACGTTCGCTTTCTCCACGACACAACGATTGGGAGTCAAGGGGCAAGTTCATCAGAGCTCCGCGCTAATTTCTTATCTTGTTTGAATTGACTTCGCACTGTCCTCTGATGCAATTTGACTTGGCACGGTGTCTGGGTGTGTGTGTGTGTCTAATTCCTGCTGGTTTCCCAACTGGTTCCATTAAGGGGTCGTTTCTTTTGGATGAAGGATGAGGTTTCAGAAACATGAAGCAGAAGCTACTGGTTTCTCCTCTCTCTCTCTGTCTCTCTGTCTCTCTGTCTCTCTGTCTCTCTGTCTCTCTCTCTCTCTCTCTCTCTCTCAAAGAGAAGAACACCAGGATAAAGACTTATGGTGGGAGAAACCAATATCCCATTTTGGCTTCTTTGATGACTAGTTTTCTAAGGACAATTTTTAAAAAAAGATTTCTGTTGCACATTTCCTGGAGTACAGGTCCCACATGGGGAAGAAGGCTGAGGTCCTAGACCGAGCACTTTTACAGCATGCAAACAGCATCATTTCTGATGTGCATGGCATTTCACAGTAACTAGTTACAAGTCACAATTACTTTAAGTAATTCTGGGAAGTAACAGCATTATAGTTAGTTTACATTTCATAAACTACATAATGAACAGTTATGAAGGGCAACTTGCTTTTTGAAACAGCAAGCAACATTTCCTAATTGCTTCCAACTGTTCCTGTTTAAGGGGTTTTAGGCAAGTTTTGTAAAGTTTTTAAATGAATTCTAAGCAGCAAGGGAAGTGCCGTTCCAATGTTTGTATTTTGTAAAGTATTTTCAATGTGCAGTTTCAAGTTTGGCTGTAAGAGGGAACTGTTGAGTATTTTCCTACCATTGCCTGGCCCTCGTAACAGTGGCACAATAACTGGAACATCTACAACTTATTTATCCTGCGAGATGAAAGGGAATGATCATGGCAACCTGGCTGGCACAAAGTAGTGGTAAACGCGGTGAGTTCCTTAAAAAGAACACACACACATGATTCCTAGGGGAGTCAAGGTCCTCTAATATACCTGTGCAGCTGAAGCGTGGGAAGGGCCAGCTCCTCAACTCAGCACTTCAAAGCCCACGTAATGCCTCCATGCTAGAGATAAGATGCATCTACTGCGAAACATGACAGGGTTAAAAAGTCACGCTAACACACGTTTAGCAAGGCATCTCCAAATGGCAAAAATAGGGACCCTGAGAATCCAGCCTTGTTCTCCTCAATTTTCTTCCTGCAAGCAAGAGGGAGAAGAGGGGTTGACGAAGCTGAAGACCAGTTGCAGGAGAGGCCCAGATTCAGCAGCCATGAAAGTGGGTGACTGGGAATAATTTTCCACATCCTTGCACTCGGGAAACAGCACTTCTGCTGCGAGACCTTTCCATGACATTTGGATGGCGCTCAGATTGAACAAGCCATGGTAAGGGGAATGGTGGGGTCTCCCTTACATATCCTGTAAACATCACATGTTTTGCTCTGCCTTGAATCCCAGGAGAGGTGGTCCAGTCCTATCAGGAGGGCAGGAACATTATCCCATCCCAGCTGTACCCCTATCACCACACCCGATACCTTAATGCAAAGATGATTGCTAAAATATCCCCCTCAATTTGCTGGGAGAGCACTCAAGCTGGTCTCGGGTAACTGTATGGGCTCTCAGGGTTGACCCTTGGGCAGATGGCTCCGACGGGGTGGTGCCCGGCATCCTTTCTCCCCCTGGAGTGGTAGAGATGCAGGAGCGATGAGCATCAATGCCTGATCATTTTGCATGACATCAGCTTGGGTGGGTGGTTGAGTATCCTTGAATCCTCTAAGCCTGAAACTTGAGGAATCAGAGAGGGAGACAGAAAAACAGAGAGAGAGAGAGATAGAGAGAGGGAGGGAGGGAGAGACTGATTGCAACATTAATTATGCAGTTTTTTTTTAAAAAAAATCCAACAGTTTGGAAAAAACAGTTAGGAGGGGAGTAAAGTCTCTCTGTCTCCTTAATTGCATTTAATTTATCTGCATTACAGACAAAGACAGACCGGTGGAAAGAGGGTGAGTGAACAGAAAGACTCTTTCCATTTTGATCCGAGGGAGCAGTAAGAAGTACAGCACCTCCGTGGACTCTCTTTCCGAAGACATCCATGGCGCCCTCTGTTCTGTGGATCCCTCTCCTTCTGCTCCTGTTTGCTGCCCTGCTGGAAAGCAAAGGTAAGAGTACCTGGAAGTTTGTAAGGGGTCGTGTTGTGTTCATCTCGTCTCTGTTGTCTGGAGACCTCGTGAAGAACCTCCACATTTGTGGGTTCAGATGAGAAGGGGAGCCGAATGTTTCCCTCTGCTTTGAAGTCCCATCACAACTCTTGGGCCATCAGGTAGCTGGGTTGTACGCTTAGAGAAGAACATCTGTTACTGTGTGATTAGGGCTTGGTTTATGGCTTGAACATCGCAACTACAGTGTTGGTGGAGTGGAATGTTTTCAGAAATGGCTGGATTTCCTGCTGAGTGATTTGGAGGTGGCAACCTGGTGTAAGTAGGCAACCTGTAATTCATGAGTGAGGGTTGCAACAATAGTAATCAGCCATTGTTGTGGATCTGAATCTCCGTGTCTAGAGGCAGTCTACCTCCAAATATGAGATGACAAGGGAAAATACCAATGAAGTGGGTTTAATCCACAAAAGCTTTGTAAAAGCAGCCAGCCAGCCTGTAACTCCCCCTTTAAAAATGTTGGGGTGTTCTTTGAGGGATGCCTGATCTGCCATCGCTGGAAGCAAAACACTCAGCTAAACAGCCTTTTCATCCAGCAGGATTATGCTTATGATATTCTTATAACAACACGTTTATTTTAGTAGAAAATACTAGACTTTAAGTTGCCGAAGACTAAAAAGCAATATTTAAGACAGCATTCTGGTGGAATAGTGGTGTGGTTTTTTTCAAATCAAGCTCAATTTTAAAACACCTAATGCAGGCTTTGCCCCTTGCACAAGAGACGTTTGTAGGTTGGTGAATCCACTCTGGCTTTACGGGAACTCTCCAAGGTGCTGAAGCCTCTTCTCCCGCTTGGATCAGCCTCTTGGAGAGCACCAGTCAAATTCAGCCTGAAGCGAATGGGCTGCCCCATGAAATTTGAGTCACTGAATTCCAGAGCAAGAAACTCAAGCTTCAGGAGATCATTTTTACTAGAACTGCCTCTCAGACTTTGAGGATTCTTTGTGTTTGAGCCATCTAGCAAGCTAAAAAAAATGTGGAAATTTCAGTACAGAGCTACTGAGAGCAAATAACCCACCAGAAAACAATGACAACAACCACTTTTATGGCAAGCTGACACTGGGCATCCTTATCCTACTGCTTCGTCCCTTAGAATGGCAAGTTCTAGAGCACCAACAGTGCTGACGATTGTGTTGCTGGTCATATTTCCTGTTCCCAGTAACATAATGGATTGCTGGCTGATGTTCAGTTGATTAGGAACTATACTTTTTGCTAAGCCATGCAAGCAAATTTGCAGGTAGTTGGAAAATGCTGGCCTCGTGTGGTTGCTCTACGAAGCCAGGTTAGAAAACACCATCTATTGGGAAGCCATTTTGGAAATGCAATCTTTGTCCCTAGAATAAACTAGCAGCATGCCCCCCCCCCATAGTCTAGAGAAAGGCCTGATAATATGAGGGCTAGATGTACCTTACTTCTGGCTGAGATGTAAGAGTCAGGACACACCTTGAAGTTCTTCCCTGGAAGTCTGTGAAAATCTCACAGAAAGAAAGTGAACAGCCAGAATCCTGTCAGCAAACATGAAGCAAAACAGAAGATATAGAAGTTGGGGGAGCAGAACTCTACTCAAAGCAGCAGGGTTTTCCCCTCACACAAAGTTTCAGCCATTTCCCTCTTGTGCAAGAGGTGAGAAAAGATGGACCACACAAAGCACAGAATCCTGTGATTATAAATAAGGAGGATACTGGAAACATGTGTTTGCTTCAATGAGGTTTATATTCAGGCCAGTTCCCAGAATTATTAGTAACAAATAGTCTCTAAGTGTATAAAAGCCCTGTTGGAATCAGCTGAACATCTGTCTGGTCCAACATCCTGTTCTCACAGTGACCAACCAAAAAGACCTCCAAAGAAGTCCTCAAGAAAAGGCACAAACAGAACAGCATCATCAGCTCCATCATCTGTGAGTGTGCCCAGTCTCCCTTTTTAAGACTTCTCAACTGCTGGGCGCTCCACATCTCGTGGAAAAGAATTCCATAAATTAATTACACTTATTGCAAAGAAGTACTGTCTTATCTCTTCTGAACTTACTGCCAATCAATTTAATTGGATGACCCCAAGTTCTGTAATTAGGAGTTTGGGGGGGGGGAGTTTTATCACTTCTTCCACACCATACATCGCTTTATAGACGTCCAGCATGACCTCCTTCCCCTTGCCCTCAGCTGGGGGAAAAAAAAGGAAGAAAAAGCTCAAATGTTTACAGTCTTCCTTTTTAGGGAAGTTGCTCCACTTCCCCATCATCCCCTTTTCCAAATCTGTGATATCCATTGTTGACATGCAGAAGCCATCATCACATTGAGATACTGAGCTCTATCTCTTATGACCTCCAATGCAGGACTGCTACCAACATTAGCTGTGGAAGGTGGTGACTCTGATATCGGAGGGCTTTCTAGACTTTACAGAAAGTATCTAAGTTGCCAATGAAAAATACGTTTAGCGCTTTGGAGAGCTCCTTTAGAATTTTGAAGAAAAACAAAGATCCGATTTACTGCTCCCACAGAACAGGGTGGACATCCTCCACGACTCATCGTGGAATATGGACTGCTACCTTGGTGAAAGCCAAATAGATTTTCTTGAAAGGGTGGGGAGGGGGCAATCCTGCACCTTTCAGTTGAATGCCCATCCCCTCCAGGTGTGAGTCAGTCCAAGACTGGTCCTGCAACTGCATGATCTGTTTTCTTGCCCTTTCTATGTGACAATCAACATTCTTTGTGTTCCTGTGATATGGAAAATTAACAATCTGCCACAGTTCTTGACGGAGCCCTTTCCCATCTGTTGCGTGCAGAAAATATGGGGGCAGAAAACAAAAGAGAGGATTCATTTGATCCCTGGGCACTGTAGTCCCCTGAAGGGGCTGAGTAATCGGCATTGATGACCCCTCTCTCCAAGCTTCTTGTTAAAGCCACCGATAGAACGAGCACTTAATCCCAGCACTTCGAGGTGAAGTGCCCACTCCCCTGCACTGACCAGAGGCTGCTGCTGATTGTGAGTAGTGGAAGAGGGAGGCTCCAGGGTCAGTTGAGCAGTGAATCCATTCCAGATTTTAGTCCATACTGTAAAAGCTTCAGTACCTTGGACAGCTCTGGCACACTTCAGCTCAAAACCCAGAGGACAGCCACCACCCTAGTGATACTTGAGCCCTCACACTCCGCTGGCTGTGAGATCAGCTTGCTCTGTTCCAGCTGTCTTTCCTCATCAAACTTGTGCTCTCCAAGAAAATCTCAAGATCTGAGGTTTTTGGTGCCTGGGTCCAAAAGTCTCATGAATTCTACTTTATCCCCCAAGAACTGGACTCTAACCTATGCAATCCTCTTTCTTTCTTTTTATAGGGAAATGTCTTCCGAGACCCAGTCCTGGTGTAAATCATGGGCAGCCACAGAACTTGCCCCATGCCAGTTGGCTCCTTAAGGGTCATTTGGAAGAGACAAAGGCAAAACTGGCAGTCCAATTAGGAGTCCAGCCTGCTTTCTGCTGACTCCCCTAATTTGTTTTCCTCTTTCTCCTCTGCCTTCCCTAGGCTTTCTTTCTCTCCAGCTGCCGTGAGCCCGTGAGCCCAGCTCACTTGGAGGAATTACAGCCAGTGCGAAAAGGCAGAGGGGTCTGCTTGATAAGCAGCCACCAAGGCAGCTTTCCCTGTGAAGTGGCAGATCTATTCCAATTATGTCCGAGATGCAAGTGTGAATTGTGGCCCAAGGTTAGAAAGTCATGTACGGGGAGAGACGTTACCACCACCAGCAGTAGCGGTGGCGGCAGGAACAACGGGAGGTTTTGTCTTTGTTGTTGTTGTTCTAGCTTAAGTTTTGTGACGAAGGGATCCAAAGTTGGTCTGCAAGATACATCTGCATTGAAGACAAATGCTAGTGAGTTATCATCCTCAAGAAGCTCGTCATGCATCTTTTCATTCTGATGTAAGAGCATCAATACAGTCGTAGAATCATAGGTACATAGGAGGGATTTTCTCTTATACGACCAACATCCTCCAAGCACAGGGGAAGTAAAGGAATAAAATAAAAATCACAGATCTTTACCCCAAGGAACCTATGGTCATAATTCCAATAGGATGTCATCTGCTTCAATGGGGCTGTGTTCCCTGATGGGTTGGGCCACAGGTGATGCCCAAAATGACCGGGCACAGAGGCAGTCTGAGGATTTTACTGGTTTAATTTTTTTAATTTTTTGTTCCTCTCCTCCAAATTTCAGTACTTTTATACCATAGAGCCTTTAAAGGACAATAGAGCTACTAGGCTATAGCCACTTGTGAGCGATGAGTACACACATACAGGAGTGAACTGTACATTCAGGGGAATAAAAAAAGGAAGCAGAAAGCGGCAGGAATGCTCTCGGATTGTGTAATGAGCCACAACCACTTGTCAAGTTAGCAGGGCACATTTATGTGATTGGGTGTCCCACTAAGATGTACTCCAAGCATCTCATCAACTAGCTGCAAGTAACTACAGTAAATAATGCACACCTTACCAGTTGTATTCTGGCCAATGGTTCTGATTCTCACCAACAGAGATCCACATTAACCAAAAGGCGGTCCATTCCAAGAAAATGCTCCTCCTGATCTGCATTTAATTTTTGTTTCCAAGCCTACCAGAAGATATCCAACAAAGCCATCAACCCAACTAAGCCGGCCCTCCGCCATCTCTCTGACTATTTACTGGCCAACTACACCAAGGGCGTTCGGCCCGTCCGGAACTGGAGGAAGGCCACCAACGTGGCCATTGATTTTATGGTCTACGCTATTCTGAGTGTGGTAGGTGCCATCTCCTTACTGCCCAAGCTTCTTGGTTTAGTGGTTTAAAGTGCGGAAGTCTCGCATACCATCCACAAAGATCCAGCAACTGTTTCAGTCTATGGAGGAGTGAGAACCTTTCCCGCTTTTCTTGGCTCAAGAGCCTAGAGAAGTGGGTTTCCATAGAGACTTCCACTTAACGAAACAACTTGGATTGGGTTGATTTCTGAACTTTGTGTTCCTTTCTAAATTCGGCTGATTCTCTCCAAAGTTCCGCATGTCTATTCTTCATCTGTCAGTTATTAATTGGGAATAGCTATGGCTCAGTTCCAGGCTTTCATGGGGGACTATTTCACAACAAGATTGCGTTGAATCAAATGCAGGGGCAGAAAAACCGCTTTTCAAAGCTACAATATCCAGCCCGGCCAATATGGCAACTAAAAGTGCTAGCTGAGAAATTTAGGGAACTATAATTCAGAAGGGTGACTTCCCCAATCTTTCTTTAGATGACTACTTGAATTTTCCATAGGCAAACAGAGAAGAAAAAAGAAAAAGAAAGCCGTGCAGTCATTATATAGAATCGAGAAATAAGACTGTGCAATGCCTTTATTATTATTAACAATGTACCATCAAGTCAATTGTGACTCATGGAGACCCTTTCCCCTATGGGGCTACCTTATGGACTCCCAAAGGCTCATGTCATGAACGTTAGTGAACTGGCCCTTCTGTTTTGTGAAACCAATTTCTACCTTCTTTGCTTTGAACAGGATGAAAAAAACCAGGTCCTGACAACATATATCTGGTATAGACAGGTAAGAAGAGAGGAAGGCCCTTTTGTTAGTGACGTGGCCAGCTTTCTGTTTGGTTGGCCTTGCTTAGACCAAGCCACCACCCAGCTTGGAAACTGTGTTTCTCATCTTACTCACATGTGAAGAAGACTTGGGTTTCTGGATCATGTCGCATGCTCTGGGCACCATGGTCCCCTTGCCTCACCTTCCTCTTCAGATAATGCCTGGGTTCTGTCTGAGGCTCTAACTGCAGTCTCCCTTTCATTAAACATAGAACCATAGAGCCAGAGAATCATAGAGTTGGAAGGGGTCTGTAACGCCATTGAATCCAACCCCCTGCTCAAGGCAGGAATCCACATTTGATAGCATAGGCTGCGGTTGCGCATCTTCCAAGTGAGAGAGTCAATTAACACATTGTTCCTTCTCCCATAGATTTCACAACAGCGACAGTAGCAAATGGAACTGCATCAGAATGGAGCAGACGTCATCACAGGAATAGGTGGAGGGACATTTAGAGAAATAGCCAAGCTTCAGGAAATAACTTTTTGGGGTCTACAGTTATGGAAATTCCCAGAACTTCCTGGCAATCCTGAGAGTTTTGGAATATAGTTCAACCTAACTTTTTGGAACTCTGAATATTCATAGCTCAGATATGGGGGGGGGGGAGAAGCCTGTTTGCATGGCAGACAATTTGTATACATAAGATAGGGGCAGATGGGGAAGAAAGAAAGAGGGTGGGAAACGAGTCATATTTTTGTTGCTCAGAAGTTAATGAAATAGGGGTGCCCTCCAATAGTCCAATTTGTTTGGCTTGGAGTCAACTCTTTCTCTGTTCTAATTCTGCAGCATTGGATCGATGAGTTCCTGCAGTGGAACCCAAAGGATTTTGACAACATCACCCAGATGTCTGTTCCTACTGATGCCATCTGGGTCCCAGATATCCTGATCAATGAATTGTAAGTGGAGCAGCTTTCTTGGGTTCTCCCATCACCTCCCAACCATGGGAGGGGAGACCAGTTTGTAGGGAACATGGAGATTCAGCCCTGTCCACCACCACCCCGCCCCCATCATCTAATCTGTTTCCATTTTGCATTCTTGGCAACACTCTCTCTTTGGCTCGACACTGGCTCCATCTTCGGTGTACTGTATATTGCAGATGGAGAGAAGGCTGAGAATTTGGGATGGTTCCAGTCGTGGAAAACTATAAACACTCATAATTACCCTTGCAGTGTTGGCGTGGGATTGAAATATTCTGAGTGAGCGAGCAAGCGAGCGGGAGAGAGGGCGATACAATAGAGGGGCAGCTGCGGAGCTCTCCACCCCTACAAGGAAGCGAGAAAAAGAGAGAGATGGGGAGATGTCTCTATTGTTCAAGATAATATTTGGGTGGATCCCACGGGAAGACCTTTGCAAGCACTAGAAAGCAAGGATGCAGAAATCTCCGAGTTTGGGTTTTGTTGTGTTCCTTCACATCCTGCCTGCATTTGCCTCCTGTCCTTCTTTCATTCCTGCTTGTGAGACTTCGTTTTTTTCTTCTTCTTTCCAAATTGAAATCCACACATCGCTTTTAAGGCATGGGTCTCCTTACTGCTTCTTTATCTACTTACACATTTGACCCAGTTAGTGAGTTTCCACCTCAGGTGCATCATTCTCCTCCATGTTCATGCATTCTTTAGCCAACCAGAATGTTCAACGGGTGCATTGTCTTCTGCACAACAGCTGCCTGCCTGTTTCCCACAAGTCTGAGGAGTTGCAAAAGGCTAGTTTTTCATTCAGAATGCCAAAATGAATGGAATCTTTCCCCATTCCAAGGTCTGAAGCCCCTGGGGCTTCAGAGTAGAAGAGCAGGGGCCCATTTCCATTCCTGTTTCTTCTTAAATGATGCAGCCTCAGTGAGTAACGTCTGAATTTTTAGGGCATGCCAGTTGCCATTTCAGAACACAGGGAAAAACGGAGTTACAAAATCCAGGGATTAACAATTGTGGAGGAGATATGACTAAGGAGAAGTGGGACATAGAACTCAAACCCATCCATACCTTCAGCATAGACTGGGATGAAGAGAGGCTGTAGAACTCAAACCCATCCACACCTTCAGCATAGACTGGGATGAAGAGAGGGAAAAAAGATATGTTTCTCTCTGTGGCCAGCCTGGGTCAGGAAAGAACTCTGAAGGAAAGCTGAGGGGTGGGTGATGGTCTGGGCTTCTTCGTATTTCCCCAGTGGGACTGCCTTTTCAGTCCTGCCCCCCTGCCCCAGAATCAACACAGCTGAGGAAATAGGTCATTGATTGGACCATCACAGCATCAATAAATGAGGGGGAAAACACAACCCATTTGAAGCCTTTCTTCTCCCATTTATAGCTGCAAGAGGCTAGGTTAGCTCCCAGGAAGGGGCACGAGAGTGCTTTATGATGTAACTCATCTTAGTCATCATCCTCCAGCCTGGAGGTAAGAACAGGCTGCCTCACGTTGAAATTCCCCACCTAATGCCCACCCAAACAGGGTCTTCCTCACCTTCATTTCTGCCTTTGTGAACCATGCTAATTCATAAAAGTTCCACTTGCCTCAGAGGGAAGATCTCTGTCTGTTTTGATGATGGAGCCAGACCGTTGGCAGACACCACGGTGTGATGGGGATCATGGCACGTTTGCTGTGCCTAGCTGGAACTGTTTGGAAATGCGCCATTAGAGTTTCCATGGGCAAGTCCCAATTCAGAAGAGAAATTTACAGCTTTGTTCCCTTGGAATGCTGACAGTCTTGCAAGAGTCTCAAAAACTATAACACAGGATTCAGGGCGGTGCCTGTAGGGGTGAAAGGGAGCTGTTAGAATGAGTGGTCAGCACTTCTAAATTAATGGTGGGGAGAAGCTTTTGTCAAGGCATGCCAAATCATAGCTACATACTGTATTTGGAACAGAGGGGCTTCTGATTCCCCCATGACGCTGTATCTCTTTTCTTCCATTTCTTTTAGCGTGGATGTGGGCAAATCTCCCGATATTCCCTATGTCTACATCCTCTATGATGGGGAAGTGAGGAACCTCAAGCCCGTCCAGGTGGTAACTGCCTGCAGCCTGGACATTTACAACTTCCCCTTTGATGTGCAAAATTGCTCCCTGACCTTCACCAGCTGGCTTCATAACAGTATGTAGTGTTGAGTTCTGTTGACTTCTCCTTGGTCGTGGTTGAAGATGGGGTATTAAGGCTTTGATGAGTTCTTGGTGTGATCCAGCACACGCAGATCCAATGACCATTATGACTCTTGTCATGATATTAACCATGGCCACAAATCCACAAGAGTCATGCCCATGCTTTGTTCTGGAGAAATCAGTGGTCTTCAGAATACCTAATCGGTTGGGTAAATGTAGCTCTTACGTCTTTCAAGTTTTTTCTTGTGTTTCCTGGTGTTCCATCATCATGTTCTTTTGTGCCTCCCTTTCACTCAAGACCTCCTGCAATGGGGCCTTACTTGTGGCCATTAATCCCAAGGCATACTTTTGATGTGATATAGGCAGGCTTGCCAACCAGTCGTTGAGATATGAAAGGGGGGAAATCTGCAGGAGAGGGTAGAGGGTCTCTGAATGGCATTCTCACCCAGCTGTTCTTCTTGTCCCCTGTTGCTCAGTCCGAGATATCAACATCTCTCTGTGGCGGTCCCAAGAGGAAGTGAAGCATGACAAGAGTGTCTTCATGAACCAGGGTGAATGGGAGCTTCTGCATGTTCTCCCCCAGTTCCGAGAATTCAGTGTGGGAGACAGTGATTACTATGCTGAGATGAAGTTCTTTGTAAGTAGCTTCAATGGGCCTGGGGCACAAGATGATGATGGGGCTGAAGCAGAGGACAGAACATTCGGTGTGACTGCAAAGGATTAGAGCAGTGGTTCCCAACCTTGGGTCCCCAGATGTTCTTGGACTACAACTCCCAGAAATCCTGGCCAGCACAGCTCATGGTGAAGGCTTCTGGGAGTTTTAGTCCAAGAACATCTGGGGACCCAAAGACTGAGGAGGGTGCAAGAATGAAGCAAAGTGAAATGTTCCACATGTGGCTTAGAGGACACCCTTGAAGGCCATGTTTCTACTACATTTCATAAGTCCCATCCCACAAGTTTTCCCAAACATATGTACCTTTTTTTAAAAGCATGAACAGGAAACTTCTCCAGAAACATTTGATGCAAAGCCTATAACCATGTATCTCATCCTCGTGATTTTTTAACTTTAGAAAGGAGAGGATGTTCCACTACTTTTATGCAGGTGGAAAGCTAGGAGTAAAAACAGTAAGTCTTCCTGCACAGGTGAAAGAACAGAAAGCTAGGAAAAGTTATCTTTTGAACTCTAAGAGACTATGCTGACTGCAGGACTCCAGACATGGTAGTCGTCCAACTAACTTTTCTAGGTTTGAAGAATGGGTGGCCCACTGGCAGTTATGCAGAAAGCAAAAAGAAGACGTTGAGGACTGTGCAGTAATGCATGTTGCGAAGCAACCCACCATGTCCCTCCCCCCGCTTAGCCGTTTGGCACCAAACGTCGGTGCAGCTCTTGGCTTGTGTCCCTTCCGAACGGCTGAAGGAACATGAAATGAGCCTTAAAGGGTCTGAGAGCCACCCAGCCACCCGTTACAGCATGTCCTGCGGTAGACTTCAATCCTGCCCTCCCTCTGCATTGTGTCCTGGCAGGTGGTCATCAGGAGGCGCCCTCTGTTTTATGCTGTCAGCCTCCTGCTCCCCAGTATCTTCCTCATGGTCATGGACATTGTGGGGTTCTACCTTCCTCCGGACAGCGGGGAGAGAGTTTCCTTCAAGATCACCCTGCTCTTGGGCTATTCCGTTTTCCTCATCATTGTATCAGACACTTTGCCTGCCACGGCCATTGGGACCCCACTGATAGGTAAGACGGCAACTTCTCTATCAGCATCAGCTCTTGGGGCAAGGACTTTGAAGGTTCAAGAAAGCACCTAAAACCTGATGGAACATTACCTTCTGGTCCCTAGGGGGAAATTTAAAGGTTGGTTAAGCTTCGCTGCATTGGTTTCAATGCATTGGTCACATGATCTCCACTGGTGAGAGAACCATGGACTTTCTAGGAGGATCTGCCTGTTTCCTCCTGTAGGTGGGTTGAGGATATTGGCTGGGGTCAAGGAGGGGCACCGGGGGAGGGCACCGCTGGGTCTACCTATACAGTGAGCATCCTGAGGTCCAGTTTCTGTCCCCAGTACACACTGAGGCTTCTGCCAGCCCTTCAAACAAGCAAAATGGATGACAAGTCTTTGAGATGGCTTCCCAGCTGCACTGCGCCCCCCCTCCCCTGTCCTGACTACCTGATCTTTTGGTTTGTGGGAGACAGGCTGGGTGTGCACCTCCTGATCCCTTAGGAAAAGGAATCTAGGAGGTGAGGTGTTAGAAAGAGAAAGAAATCAGCCAGTCAGAGTAGATCCTGGAGCAGGGAGGATGGAGAGCTGGTTTCCATTCTGTTGCATCTTTCTTTAGTTCCGAAATGGATTTTTTGCTGAAGGACATGCCTTCTCTCTTTACAGGGGTTTATTTTGTGGTCTGCATGGCTTTGCTGGTCATCAGCTTGACCGAGACCATCCTCATCGTGCGGCTGGTCCACAAGCAGGACTTGCAGCCCCACGTCCCCGAGTGGGTGAAGCGCTGGGTGCTGGAGAGGGCGACCATTCTGCTCTGCGTCCGAGACAGGAGCGCCTTCTGTCCCGTCCGAACGCAGAGCTCTGATATCTCCAGGAACACAGAGAACAACGATAGCACCGGTAAGACTGCACCCCAAATATATACAACGGTGAATGTGGACCTTAGATTCAGTATTCAAAGAGCGCCCCTCTCCCGGTTCCCAATACTTGATGGCGAGAAAGGTTTCAATCCGATGAAGGGAAGAAGGCAATCTCAGTGTCAGTCAGTTCTCCAAAGGGAGGCATCTGAATGGTACAAGAAAGCCCTCTATGGAGCTCGCCGTTTCTGAGGGTGAGATAACGGAGCAGCCCCTTCTCTCACAGAGCTTAATGAGCAGGCAATTAAATGTGGAAGAAAGGGTTCCGACAAATATCTAGGACCCAAGCCATTTAATCATAATCATGCGCTATCAAGTCAATTCCGACTTCTGGTGGACATTCCCAGGCTTTTCTAGGTAGAGAAGACTCAGAAGTGGTTTCCCCTTCCCTTCTTCTGGGGCTGCCCTGGGACTCCTGTGCAGCTGGCCCAAGGCCACCCAGGCTGGCTCTTCTCCCAGAAATCGAAGTCCTGTGGCTCCATGGCCAGATACCTAAACCACTGAGCTATCCAGCCAGCCCCAAGCCATTTAGGGCTTTAAAAATCATCACCAACACCCAGAGCCCAGGCCTATGTGTTTCATCCTCACGGACAACCTTCTTTCCCTTCTCCTTGTGCCTTTTAGCCAAACTGAACCACTACAGCTGTGAAAACACCCGTGATGATGAAGGCGCAGAAAGCAGCGCCATGCATCGGACGCAAGGGGAGAACTCACAGGTGGTGGAGAATATCCTGCAGGAGATCATGGCCATCCGGCAGTTCCTGGAGAAGCGGGACGAATTCCGTGACATTGCCCGCGAATGGCTCCAGGTGGGCTATGTTCTGGATGTGCTCCTTTTCCGCACCTACCTGGTCGCTGTGCTGGCTTACAGCGTTACCCTGGGCACTCTGTGGTCCATCTGGCAATATGCCTGAGCCACTCACCTGCCCCACAGAGATGGACTGGGCAGGCCATGATGCTCCACAAGTCTCCTGGGGATGTCTTTTAATAAGGGAGATCCAGCAGGATCCCAGGTATTTCTGCTGATGTTCTTGTTTACAGACTGGCACCTTTAAATGCTGGTGATTTGAAGTGTCTCTTACAGGCTGGTCTGTTCATGTCTGCTTTGTTATTATGGGGCCACTCTGGCTTAGCAAGCTTGTGCCTGCCGCTCTCAGCTGCCCAGTGGCAAAAAAATTTTTTTTTGAGATGCCTGCCATTGCACCCACGTGACATTTCTACACACATTTAAAACACTGCTCTCAGCATTGCATGCTGGCAAACCAACCTCTAATCCAGTGCCCTGAACTCGGCTGGTAAAAGGGAAGTGGAGAGGAGAATGGGCATGAGATATTTTTTGCAAAAGGTTTCCTTTTGTCTTCCTGTCCTCCTCTCAGTTCTGCCCTCACTTCGGAGCTTCTTTCTCACCTCCCTCTCAGAGAGAGCAAGCCACGTCCCCCCATACATCCTTATTGTCATTGTTGTTGTTGTTGTTTTGATGTGTCATCCATACATCCTTATTGTTGTTGTTGTTGTTGTTGTTGTTTTGATGTGTCATCAAGTTGCCTCCAACTTGACGCGAAGTTGCGTCCAACAATGACGCCATGGACGCTCAATCTCCAACATGTCCTGCCCAATGACGCCTTGGACGCTCAATCTCCAACATGTCCTGCCCAACAGGTCTTGTAAACTCAACCCTATGGTTTCTTTCAGGATGTCAATCCATCTCGTATTTGGTCTTCCTCTTTTCTTGCTGCCTTCCACCATTCCCAGCATGATTGCCTTTTTATGCTGTGGCCAAAGCAGGACAGCCTCAGTCCTGTCATTTTTGCTCCAGAGATAGTTCAGGTTTGATTTGCTCTAGGACCTACTCAATTGCCTTTCTGGCATCCAAGGGTATCCGCAAAGCACCCTCTAGGACCTACTCAATTGCCCTTCTGGCATCCAAGGGTATCCGCAAAGCACTCCCCCAGCAATGTATTTCAAACAAATCATTTTTTTCTGGTCAGTTTTCTTTATGATCCAGTTTTCAAACCCATACGTGATGATCAGAAAGACAAGAGTCCGGATGATCCTGGTCTTGGTCTCCAGTGACACATCTTACAGTTGATCTTTTCTAGTTCCTTCATTGAGGACCTTTTAAATCTCAGTCTTCTTCTGATCTCTTGACTGCAGTCTCCCTTTGGATGGGTGATTGAACCAAGGTACATCTTCATTAGGGTAACCCAAAGTCCAAAAGAGATGGAAATCTCCCGGCGTAGCTTGCCTTGGCTTAATTTCTTCAGCAGAAGTAATTACAGCTCTAGACGCAATGGAAAGGGAACCCCTCTGTGGATACTGAGCAGAGATCTGCTTATGTAAGAGAGTACCGTCTATTCATCTTAGCAGCATCTAGTGTCAGGCGTTTCTGCAAATAAACATCCATTGGGGCTTTCAATTTTGTCAATAGCCTTGAAAAACACATTGTTTCTCACTGGAGGGCTACACGTTTCCTTCTTCTTGAGACATCTCCTTGTCGTTTATCCTGTTGCCATGCTCAGATCATTTCAGTAGCAACACTTGGTCTCCCCTCTTCTGGAATCAAAGTGCATAAGGCCCTCAGACCAGCACATTATAGTGGTACCTGTGGCAGGCAGCCCCAAGCCACCCTATACCTGGTAATAAAAATACAAATGAAGTAACTTTAAACATTTCCACTCTCTCACAAGACCCCAACTCTGCTTCCCAAAGCAGACACAGCACTTTACCTAGTGGTAGGGATGACCTCAAAGGATGCAGATGGTTTACTTGTTTTGTAAATAGCTTTCTAGAGCAGCTGTACAGGACATGGCTACCTGCGCTCCCAGTGTCACCTGAACTTTCCATTAAGCAAGCAAGCTTTTCTCTTCTGCTCCACCTATTATATGTTGTGCAATAAACATGATATTTCTTGAATTCAACTGATGAAGCAACTCATGTCTGGAATAGGATGCATGGGTGGCATGGAGGACCCATGTGTTATGTAAATGGGAAAAGTAAGCAGTAAAACACACACACACACAGAGCGAGAGCGAGAGAGAGAGAGAGAGAGAGAAGAAAATAATAATTTAAGAAACAAGAATCACATTCAGTTTTACCATTTTGGAACAAAAAGCCATTTACTTCATTGTACAGCAAAAGAATGAAGAAACAATGCAGCTTGGCGTGTCTGAAGGCCTATGTGACTGGCGAGGGGCTCCATGGCACAGCAACGTGAGGAAAAAGCAAAACTAGAAGAGGTTGAAAATTCACTTCTAGTCTTTGTGAAAAGGCTGTTTTATAAGGACTTCAAAAAGGTGTGAGGGACATTTATTTCAGTCATTGAGAAGCTTCCTGGGGTGGTGAGAGATAGAGAGAGGAAAGGAAAGATGACGGCTCCCAGGGGATCAAATATATATGTAAGGTGGGTAGTCCATCGCAGGAGCCCCCCGTCCCCGTCCAGAGGCAGGTCATCCAGTTAAACCTTGATTAAGCCAGTGGGGAAGGTTTGTCTCCCCTGGTGCTACTTTCTGTGATTAAAGTAGGATCTTTCTGGGTCTTAGGCTGGAGCCCACTCCAGGCTTCTAAAGCTTTTGGCCCAAAAGAAAACGAGTAGAATGCCATTAGGGGTCAGTGTATCAGGGGGTAGCGGGTAGGGTGTCAAACAGGGACCTGCGCACTCCTCTTTTAAATTCCAAGTGGGCCTTGGAGATTTCTGAGCAGCCACATGCCAGTTGTGGTCTTTTGGTCTGTACCATCTTATGGGCTTGTGGTAAGGAATAAAATGGAGAGGAAAGGAAGCATGACAGCACTTCAAATTCATCTGAAGAAAGGCAGGTTATAAATATCACAAATCCATAAATACTACTGAATACTTATTTATCTGTCATTAAAAACAAAAAACAAAACAGAGAAAAGTTGCAGCATTTCTCCACTAGGATCTGGATGAAATCAGTGGCAGAGAATTCAGACCAGTTCATTATGGCATCTTAAGTGAAAGTGATTTAGAGAAATTCCAAAATCTTGTTTAATGTAATAAGGATACCTGATATCCTTGGTTAAATGCAATGCTCTTTCACTTTGCACAGCATAATTGTCAACCTTTCCTTGATGCGGGACTTGATAAATGTCCACACACTTACAAGACTGTAAAGTTTTTCCAGTAGAATATGTCACACAAGCCCCTTATGTTTCCATTTACGGTCTGGGATCGAATGAGAAACCTTCAAGCAAGCTGTGTTCTCCAAAAGCTTTCCAGCACCAAGGACAGAGCCCCTGGATTCTCCCTGTTGGCATCCAGCATGTACCCCTCGCTCCTTTTAACTTGAATCGACAAGTGGATGATGGGAGTGTGTTTTCAAGCCTTTCTCTGCCCATAGGTTGCTAAACAGAGGGAGTGTGTGTGTGACATAACAGCATGGGGGCGTCAGGCCACAGAAAAAGCCCAGAGGAATGAAAAACAGGGACATAAGCATGTAATGCCGAGTTACACAAATGCAGAACACTGGTGGATGTCAATTCTTACTCACCACCTCCATTCGGATCCATCTGTTATTTGGCAAGTATGATGTCAATTCATGTTGCTCTCCACTCTGGTCCCCCGGGTCTCTGTCGGTACAGCAGAGAACCTGTCCCTGACTTAATATTTTGCTAGAAGCAGTAAAGAGACTGACCCCTGCTTCTGGCCTCTTCTTGAATCTAAGAAAGTTGGGTAATGGTGCCGGGAGACTGAGATGTTTTCTTCCAGTTTGCTTCTTCAGTGGAAGCGGTACAGTGAGGGACACAAGGGCTTACTAATAAGGCTTTATGGGACAACGTATCTGGAAGAAGGACACAGCCCATTGCCAAGTGATAGGAAATGTGATAAACATTTTAAAAAATTCTCAGCAAAACAACATTTGGTTGCAGAAGAACAATTGCTTAGAAAACCAGATGCACAAATGTTCATCTCTTTCCTCTTCAACTGATCCTCACAATCAGATGTTCTCAAAAGCTGATCTTTTCTCCTTCTGTACCATCACCATCGCAAGACTCCAGCTGAAGCACACAGCAGTTAAAAACCCCCACAAAACTTGCCTATCAGTTGTGGACGAGACTGGCTAAAAATTCACAAGAAGACTCCTGAAATGGCAGTGTTGTGAGGAGCCTACACTTCCTAGTGGAGAAGAAAGTTAATCACACATTTTTGTCCTTTTTTTAACAAAACAAAACAAAAGTCGCCCTGTTGTAAAAGCCTGTTCTAGCTTCTGACAATATTGAGCAGCAGATGAACACAGAAAGCTAGGTTGGTGTTTTTGGAGAGAGTCTCGGATTTGGACACAGGAGATCTGGGAGTGAGGTGGGGAAGTGTGGCAAAAGCTGAACCAGAAACTGAGCATCTCATTTACCTTTGGAAGCTTTTTAGGATTGCCATAAATAGAAAGTGACTTGACACTGTAGAATGACAATAGCTGAACACAGATGAGTCTTCATGGAATTGTACGTAAAGCAATATTGCTCTGATAAGATTAGGGTACTAAGGTATGAAATAGCCCAAAAACTAGAGTGATTGTTTTTGTTTTCCTAAGATAGAGTTAGTGGAGAATGGATTCAGTTTGGCTAACGAAGGTACCCAGTAGCCTAACAACACAGAGGTAAAGGAAACATTATTCACTTTTGCTGTGTTAATGGTTCAGTGTTTAATCTTCATGGGTAAACCATCCAATATATGTAGTCTATTTGAAGGGGTTCAATACAGGTTGGACTTCACAACCAACCGTCAGCTGCAGATAGTCTGGTAGAATATGATGGGTATGGAATAGAACCAACTGGGGATGAATAAGTTCCAACTGGCCATCATAGCCCAACACCCACAAATTTTGATCCGATCTTTGGATCCATTGAAATGGAACCTCTGAAGTCCTTCCTGAGACTTCTGCGCATTGGATTGGGAGAGAGGCCATCTCACTTGCAGGAAAAATTCGGGATGACTGGCAGGTGGAAGCCAGGTTAGTGCCCATGTGGATTTTGGCAGTGGGGCCAGTGATAATCCCCTGATGATCTGTAAGTGGCTGGCTATTGATGAGGTGTCCAGTGGAAGAGTTAGTAAGACACTAAATCAGCTCCATTGATCCTAGCGAGATCGATGGTACTACAGACCTGATCACTGCAATGGGCAATTAACAACCGCTGGAATGAGCTGCCTTCATGTAACATCAAATGCTTCAACAGACAAATCCGATCGGCACATCGATCTGTCCCTCCTGGTCCTGTGACAAGGTAGGTGCGTACATCTGCTATGTGTACATTCAGGAAGCAAACACAGGAAAGGGGACGCATAAGTCCTATGGTGCATGGGGCGAGGGGGAAATCCATTACTCTCCCACTACTGGGTCTGTCACAATGAGCAGCCCATATTCTGTCCAGAGTGGCTAATGAGTGCCACCAAAGAGAATCACAGAATCATAGAAACACAGAATCACAGAGTTGGAAGGGGCCTCTAAGTGCATCGAGTCCAACCCTCT